GACGTAAAGTATTCTCAAGGGTAGACGGAACATGGGTTAGAACCTTTGCCGTCTGTCAAATCATGGGAGGTTTTGCGGTTTTCCACTCCATGTAATGCAAATGCGAGTTAGTTCAATTAAAATTCTTCCACGAAGGCTGGTTAGTTCAAATGTCTGACTAGAAGACAAGGGAAATCTTAACCCTTGTCTTCTGGTTTGGATTCAAGAGTACAGGGCTACGAAGTTCCTTGGTAGTCGTATACTCGAAATTGTGTCAGCTCTTCAAGGTCAGTTATAAAATAAAATGAATTGATCAGATTTTCACCAACTAAGTGTCTATGTTAATAGGGCAAATCTCAAATATTATAACCTCAAATTATGCTAATTAATTAGTGCTAATTATTATGATGGAAGAAATTTAAGTCAACCAACCACCGCTGGTACACCTTATTGGTGCACCTCAACCTGGTACACCTCATCGGTAGATGAACACTCTATCCCCTAAGACACCACGAACTCAAACGATACTATGAAAAAATCGATAATAACAAAAATGTTGACACGTTACCACAAAATTGAGTTGTTAATTTTATATTTTATTATCCTTCTACGTCCTCCAGGAAATAACGCCCACCAGTTAAAAACCGCTGAATTAAATCAATCTATGAGATGGAAAGTATATGTTACAGTATGTTTTTATATTTAAATATAAACCAATTCACTACTAAGCAAGGTTCGTTTTCCTTTTCTTTATTTAAATTATGTTTTTAACTCGCATGATTCTGAAATATTTTCATATAATACTTCAGATACTTCCCTCTTTAAACTAATCTTCAAGGAAAATATTTCGAGCGTTAAAGCAAAATTGTTCTAATTTATATTTCGAAATAAATATTCTTTTATAATGAAATAGCAACATTTTCTAGTAATGCTTGTTAATCTTATAACCACAGTCTTTAAAAATAAGCTATGTCTCTCAAGAGATTTCACTACAAGAATCTCTAAGAGCATTAAGAAATAAAGCAGGATTCAAAAAGTAACAATGAGGCATAAAAAAAAGTAATAGAAAGTCTTCCACTCCACTTTTTCCTGCTGTTTTAATTAATGATCTAATTTGTTTTACAAGAGAAACTGATTTAGTTTTAGAAAACTGCTGAATTGTTTTACATTAAAATTAATTTTTAAAATAAAAAAATATAAATTAGGTGAGAATAAAGTTTGTGAAATGAATTAATTTTTTCCTGCAAGTTTCATGTTAAGATTTTTTTTTAACTTCAGTTATAATTGATTTTAATTTCGTTTAAGTTTCTCTCAGAAACATTGCTGTAACTTTTTTAAATAAATTATTTTTATTAATTTTCGTTAAAAATATTTGAAATAATAGAGCTTAAAGAATATACGAAAAATTAGTGTAATTAATATTCATATATTATAATACAATGATAATTATTGTAATAATTAACATATTATATATTATTTTCAATGGATAAAATTTAAATAATTTTCGTCAGTTGATGTTGATATATA